ATCAACATAGCTCTCTACCTCCCTTAGCTCCTCCAGTTCAGCCACCCTGTCCTCCAAAGCCCGAACTCGGTCTCTGAGGGTCAGGAGCTCCTTGCAATGGGTGCACACATACGCCACCCGCCCACAGGGCAGGTAATCATACATGTTACACAATGCAATAAACAGGATAGCCCCCACTCTGCTGCTGGGCTTCTGTCTCCATGTTTGTAATGAATAAGTTTAAGTACAAACTGGGATTCTTTTTAAACTTCTGGAGTATAGATTATTCTAAGAGTTAGGTTTTAAAGAAGGACACAAGTCACTAGTGCCCTCTCAACTCCCCCTCTCCAAACTCTCCTGTTAGCTGTTCCTGGTCATGCTCTCCCTGGTCACTGAGTCAGGCTTATATAGCTCTGGTAGCCCCTCCTCCTGACTGAGGCTCAGCCAATTAACAGAGGCTTCTAGATTTCAAACCTTTTAGAAGCTCCTTCAAACAAACAAACCAGACAGACAAACACAAGCTCAGCACACTGCAAATAACTCCCCCACACACAAACACACACTCCAGACAGCCACTTACCACAAGGGTCCCGTTGTTCCTCCTCTTTTACCTGGAGAACTCCCTCTCCAAACTCTCCTGTTACCTGTTCCTGGTCGCGCTCTAAGGTACAAGTACACTGTCCAAGCACTTATGGCGTGCAGTCGCATCAGCTGCATCGAGGGCAGCCTGGAGCATGGCCCTAGAAATCATCCTGCCTTCCTCCAAGAGGACTCTAAATGCGGGCCGAGAGTCCTTAGGGAGCAGCTTGGTGAACTTAGCCATGGAGACCCAGGTGTTATAGGCATAGCGAGACAGTGAAACCTGCATTGGCCTTCCTGCCTAACAAGTCCATTTTCTTGATGTCCCTATTTTTGGGGCTAGCGCCCGGTTGTCCCTGCCTCTCCCTTTAGTTCACCGCCTGGTTGACTAGGGGCCCTGGAGGCAGATGGGAGTAGAGATATTCGTTCCCTTCCTAGGACATGAAGTACTGGTGCTTGGCCCTCTTGTCTGTCAGTGGGATAGAAACCGGGGTTTGCCATGGTGGGCATGGAAGGGAGAGTGTCAACCAGGGCCTCGTTGGGGGAGGATGAGGACCCCTTTGGCCCCATCTCCACAGGGACCTCGGCCTGCTAGAGGACCTGAGAGGCAGCCAGTAAGGGCCCTATGGGTGGCTGGACCATCCAGCCCTCCGTCTCTGAGGGCTCTGGGGAGGTTTGGCCTGGGGGAAGTGACTGCCCTGATGTGGGCGACCAGGTCAATGGGATCATCAAAGCGGATGCTCTGGACCAGAAAGGACCAACTCCCAGCTAGAGGGGCCCATGCCCTGGCTCTGATGGTAGGCTCATGGGGTCCAAAACGGCCATTGAGATGGGCCTGAAGCATGTGGGGGCCAGGACTGCAGTATCACCAGTACCAGGATGCTGTTGCTGATGAGCGGAGGTACTCTGATGCCGTGATCGATAGGAGTGGGACTGGTGCCAGGACCTGGACCTGGATCCCCTGGACCACCACGTGGACTCCGTTTCTGAGTCAGTTGAACACTCTGACGCTGACCATGGCGGGGTGGAGGCAGACACAGTTGGTGATCTGGCCGATGAGGCTGAGCCATCAACTCCGGTTTACCCTGGAGCTAGCAGGGAGGCAGAGGCATAGCCAGGCCCAGGAGGCCCTGAACAGAGCCAGCGGTTGCAGTGGCCGGTACTGCGCTCAGTGTTGGTCAAGACACTTGCTCTGGTGCCGGGTCCAGTGCCAGGCCATGGGCCTGGGTTGAGGTCGCTGCCGGTGCCTGCCCTGTAGGCAGTGCCACGCTTGGGCCCGGAGCAGCATAGGAGGTAACCATAGCGGAACAATGCTTCTTAGGCTCTGGTGCCAAGGCGCCCGGTGCCGTAGGCTTCGATCGGTGCCGCCCATGGTCCTGATAGGCCTCTGGCACTTTTCACAGAGTTTGAAGCCCTGAGGGCCAGGCATGCCCAGTCGCATGCACTGGGCACGCATAGCAAGGACCACGGTGGGTCCTTAGCACTAGAAAACACCACTTAACAACTATTTAGAGAACTGATAGGAACCGTAACTGCTGAAATTAGAACAAAGAATTTTAGAAACGAGTTAACTGCTAAACGGCGCTTGCTAGTGAGAGCAAGAGCACATTCCAATGACCGTCACAGGGGGGCAATAAGAAGGAACTGAGGACAGAGGGCCAGCAGGGGTATATATTGGCTGGTATACCAGTGCTGCTGGAGGGGACTCCCCTGCTGGCCTGACCGGGTACTGCTAAGGGAAACATTTCTGATGGTGCGTGTACGCTGCGTGCACAGCTACATGGAATGGACATGAGCAAACACTGGAAGAAGAAACCGTATTATTGTAGAATTGTGGAAAAAATAGACAAAAGAAACAAGTTAAGGGGAAAAAACATCAGCTATGACTGTAGGTAAATGGTTATCAGAAAATTGGTTGCATTTACTGATTTACTACAATCTTAATAGACCCTGATACAGTTTCCAGCCTAGACATTACAGGTTCCACCTAACTGGTCCCGGATGAGGGATTTTGCCAGACTACAGGAGGTCACATCTGCCCCCTGCTATCAGCCACCCCAGCCCTGGACCAGCTGCTGGCTTCCTGGCTGCTCCCCTCCTCTGCTGCCCTGTCAGTTTTCTGCCCCTGCTAAGCCAGGCAGCCCCACTGCAGTGCACCAGACTCCTGGCTCCTGCCAGGCAGCCCTGCTGGGTTGTACCTAGCAGCTCAGCTGTGGTGTGCCAGGCTGTCCAGCTGCGGGGAGTCCAGCCTACAGCCTTCTCTGTTCCTGGAACAGCCATGGTCCTGCCGAACCAGGGAATCCTGGTTAACCACAGTTCAACCTGTATCATTCTTGTTTTGTAGACTAGCTACCTATAGTATGAGATTGGACTGTACCTATGATCTGCTGACTCTCATCTGTCAAGAACAATTTAGTTGAGAGGACAATGTGAAGTTAAGTTTCTACACTTCACCTGTGTGTTACTTACCAAACTATATACAACCCATTGCTATGTTCCAGGGGAAACTCCTGATTATTCCAAGATAAATAAAGCCTACATAAACACGTTTTTTGAAAGTAGAGATTATGGGGAGCCAGACAGTTCAATGTTCTAATAATGGGACTCAGAACCCTTCAGTTGTCATTAACTCAAGACTTCTCAATGGCCCTTATGAAATGAGTAAGAAGTCTACATTCAGTTTCTAGTGCACAGTATCCATATAACAAAATCACCTCATTTGGACATATATGCTCTTCTGGGCAGAGTCAGAAAAAGTATCGTCTTCATGCTCCACTCACTCATAGGCCTTGTTTACACTAGAGATTTGCTAGTGTGTATTAACTCAAGCATTCTAACATGGAAGAGGTAAGGCACACTACCCTATTGATTAAAGCCAAGTGGATGTTTAAGTCTCTACTCTGTTGTCTTCATTAGGCTTTCCTAATGCGTTGCCTAAATGCCACCAATGTAACTTTTCAATTCTAATCCAGTGCCTTACAGATGGTCCTTTTAAATGTTTGAACATTTTGTCAAGATAGCAGAGAAATTGCCCTGTCCCTCCCATGCCCATTTTTGCCAGATCGAAGTTCGCCATCCAAGATGACTAGAAGTACAAATGTTTGAACTGTCAAACGCACTACAACAACATGTAGCTGTAGAAGCACACTTCTAAATGTGGCAACTTTCAACTGGAAAGTAAGTAAACCAAATAGACACTATATACTTCAAACATTTGCATTTATTATAAATAGGTGCACAGATTTTATGCCAGTTCTTCTGAATACTTCTCACCTGTAGCTACAAACTACATATAAAACACTGTTATAATTGAGGAAAAAAACCAAGAATTACATGGTAAATTAGTACAGAGTATTTTGCTGTATTTAATTTGCTAGACATTTTCTAAATAAGGGCACTTACTGAGTATAAAAAAACACCACTTTGGAAACATTTAAAGCTTGAATTCCATTTCCCCTCTCCCTTAACACTATCAGTTTGACATTTGCATTGCATAAGCCACTTTTGTCTGGCATGTTATACATAAAATAAGACTTCATGGGCCAATTTCTGCTTTTAATGACACCCATGTTATTAACACCCAAGTTATATGGAAACAGAACTCATTAGGTTATATGGGAACAACAGAATTTGGTCCAATATTAATCTTAATGATGAATACACTAAGAATAAGAGATTAAGTTGAATACTTCCACTATGAAACATGAAATGTACAAATCTGCATCTGTTTCCCACTCCTTCACCATATCCAGCTTCAGGAATAATTCATTCATTAAGCAGTTCTTCATTAGTACCTCATAGCTCTTATTAACACATAGACAGAAAGAAAGATACCACACATGAAATTCCTACTGTATCCCTAATCAGATTACATCCCTCTCTCCTAGAATAGCATGTCTCTCTTACCATCCTGAATGCCCATTGTATAGTATCTGGTCTATACTATCTCTACTATGAATCTTCCTTTTTTGGACAATTTTCTCAGGGCTAGGGATTGTGAATCCCATAGGCCAGGTATATGCCTACACACAAAGTTAACCTTGTGCCACAATCTCCCCTTTAATGGTGAAACCTAAATTATCCTCTTATGTCCAAAATTGTACCACAAGGAGTTATCACTTTGAGCATGGGAAAGAACAAATGTGCAGAGGCCACAACCTTCTAATCTCACAGATTAGAACTAGGGAAAATCCTAGCCCCAGGCCTACAGATCTCAGGTCATCCATGTGGACGAGTTGCCCCTTTCTGTTCAGCCTCTACCCTGGCAGCTGTCTTAGTCTGGTTGCTGTGATGGTCTTTGTCTCCTCTGCTGTGCTACTGCTCTCCTAATCATGCCCCCCCCCCCCGAAACGACAAAGTCCTCCATTTTTCTCCCCTCCAGCTGTTCCACCGTATCTTCAGAAGTGCAGCATTTATACTGAAGTGCTACCCAATCTTCTGTTTGCAGAGCAGGGAAGAAAAGGAACATGCCATGTATAACGCATCCCTCCGCCCCTGCTTTGTGCACGCTTCCAAGCCTCATTTCTTCTTGTTAGCACAGTGCTATCCTTGGTGCTGTCTTACAATGAAAGCATGAGGCTTCATACCAGAATGCTGGACAACTGCTGAAAATTGTCTGAAGACTACCTCAAATGAAGGTTAAAAACCCAGGCACAGACTGCTCATTCATTTATATTTGCATGCCTGATACTATGTGGAAGTACAGCCAAAGCTGTTTTGAAGGTTAGTTTGTTACAACCACTTTGCAGCTAGAAAAATGATAAACAACATTATCATTGACAAAATCACAACTATACAAATTTGATTTTTTTATATATATGTATGTATGTATGTAACCTATCACAAGTACAGAACAAGCCTCTTGTAAACAACTCTAAACAAATGAAACCAGAAAAGTAACTGAATAGCTAAAGATAGCGCTAATGCTGGACAATAAAAGCCTAATTTCAATTTAAGAAATGAGTTGTTTGGGTTTTTTTTAAATCAGATTGTGCAGTCTGCCTAAAATCATTGGTAAGCACAAATTCTGAATTTGAAAAGCAGGACTTTGACTTTTATAGCCCACTGAAATCGTGACAAGAAGCTTTTAGGATGTATAGGCAGAAAAATGCCTATGTGCGATCTCCCTGAATTCAACTCCTTTGCTTCTCTGTGGTCATATCCTGCCATCCTTAGTCCAAACTCTCATTAAACCCAGTGGACCAAAGCAGGATTTGGTCTTTGGGGAAAAGATCTCAACGTGCTGTACAGCAGTTATTTTTATAGACAAGGTATTTTCCTTATAAAGTTCCTGTAAAGGAACATTCAAGATGTCAAGAGGTAGTCAGGAATATTGGATGCATCTTCTTTTCTTAGAAGTAGCTACTGTACATGCAAGTGAGAAGGATTTAACACTGGGCCATAGACTACTCTTCTGAAATTTTGAGAAAAACTGTTTTCCATCACAGGGACAATGCATGTTTCTGTCAAGGTGAATATTTTTTCCAGTATCACTAAAACAGAGTCATTATTTGCAATGATAAAGCAAACAAATTCTCATCCAATAGTTGTCATACAGCAGCCTTGGACTTTCAGCTTTTTTATATTTTTAACTGAATGATAAATGTTTTTTGCCAAGAACAAAGAATTAAACAAAGGAGATGAAAAGACACCTAGTGACTTGACATGTTTCAAGTTTTAAAACCAGAAAGGAATAGAAGGGGTAGATTAAGCCCAGGCCTGTTGTCACAAGGCAAATGCAACTAGTGTGGGGGAAAAAAAGTTATTAGAACATGTTCCACTATCCCTTGCTGAAGGCAATTATTTTCCAACAAAGGAAATTTCCCTTTAAAAAAATTAGTAAGTGTTAAATTGAAAAAAGGAAGGTCACATTTTACTGAAGTTTTCTGACAATTAGTATCTCAAATTAATAGCATGCAGATGAATGCTACAGCTTTGGATACTTATGACAACTTTTTTTCTGATCATTCTTTACAAACACCCTTCAAATTATTGCATAACACACTGGTTCTCATATTTGAACTATTCGCTCTTCACCCTTTTGTCACTGGACTTTGAACAAGTTCTGTTATGACTGCTTGAGATATGAGTGAATGTCAAGTGATTTTTTTTCTTGCTGAGCTCAGTGTATTTTAAAAAGCTACTGATTTAGATTTCTCTCCTTACAGAGATGAGGGACTGCTACATTTAAAAAAATGTGCTACAGCTGTATGGTGTAAACAACAGCTTTGAAAACTGTTATGCACAGACACACTAGAAAATCCATTCAATAGGTGGGCTTCTGAGGGTCCATGTAAGCAGGATTGTAGGGAGGTTGATTGACTGGGTAGGGTAATCCAGCACCAGCTGAAAAAAAACAAAAAAAGACAACCCAGCAGCACGTATTAATATTTTCATTCTATATTTACTTTTGAATGACAGCTCTAGTTCCTATTGCAGAAGTCACAGATTCAACATTCTAAAGCTGGAGAATAATTTCCTAGTGCTGACTTGAGAAAGTCCCACTTTGAGAACTGAGCCTGGAAGCTCTTTGGGGCAGGCTGTTTGCCTGTTCCATCTGCAGCATCGAGCATTTCTGTTGTGACTTACATAATAAATTCTCCTCTGTAGGCTGTAGCTGAATAGTGAGCGTCATGTCAAACGCCAGTAAGCAGTTCTAACAACACACAGGTAAGAGTAGTGGTCTCCGACCTTTTTACACCCAAGATCACCTCGCCCATTCCCAAAGGCCCCACCCCTTCCATGAGGCTCCGCCCACTCCATTCCCCCTCTCTCCATCACTTGCTCTCCCCCCACCTTCACTAACTTTCACTAGGTAGGAACAGGAGGTGCGGGCTCTGGGTAGTGACAGGGATTTGGGAGCAGGAAAGGGTGGGAGGTGCAAGCTCTGGGAGGGAATCTGGGTACAGAAGGAAAGCGTTGGGGTGTAGGAGGTGGTGCAGGGTACTGTCTCTGGGAAGGGGCTCCAGGCTGGGGCAGAGTACTGGGGTGTAGGAGGTGGTGCAGGGTACTGTCTCTGGGAGGAGCTCCAGGCTGAGAAAGCATCGGGGTGTAGGAGGTGGTGCAGGGTACTGTCTCTGGGAGGAGCTCCAGGCTGAGAAAGCATCGGGGTGTAGGAGGTGGTGCAGGGTACTGTCTCTGGGAGGAGCTCCAGGCTGAGAAAGCATCGGGGTGTAGGAGGTGGTGCAGGGTACTGTCTCTGGGAGGAGCTCCAGGCTGAGAAAGCATCGGGGTGTAGGAGGTGGTGCAGGGTACTGTCTCTGAGAGGGGGCTCCAGGCTGGGGCAGAGTACTGGGGTGTAGGAGGCGGTGCAGGGTACTGTCTCTGGGAGGGACTCCAAGCTGGGGCAGAGTACTGGGGTGTAGGAGGCGGTGCAGGGTACTGTCTCTGGGAGGGACTCCAGGCTGGGGCAGAGTACTGGGGTGTAGGAGGCGGTGCAGGGTACTGTCTCTGCGGGGGAGGGGCTCCAGGCTGAGAAAGCGTCGGGGTGTAGGAAGCGGTGCAGGGTACTGTCTCTGGGAGGGGGCGCCATGCTGGGGAAGAGTACTGGGGTGTAGGTGAGAGTGTGGGATGCTGAGCAAGAACCCAGGCTAAGCAGAAAACCCCTGAATGCTTGTGGGAAGCAAAGCTTTGCTTCCCCCCGCAGTGGCCCCTCATGTGCAGGACAGCTGGCCCCCAGGCTGGAGGCCCAAGGGAAAAGCCTGTGTGGGTAGGTGTGCCTCAGGGCTTGGTGATGGAGTTTGCTTGACTACAAGCCCCCTAACAGGGTGGCCTGGGCTGTTGCCTGACTCCAGCCGCTCCTAGCCAAGGCAGCATCGTCTCCGTGCTCCCAGGGTA